TCCCCATATCATTAAAATAATGCCATACTTTATCAGCAAGCTGAGCAGTAGCTTATATGGCTGTTAATGAGAGGGTTAGCCTCTCATTTTGCTCATGAGCACTGCACAACAGAGGATCGATTCACTTTTGTACGTGGACATTAACAGTCATTTAGCTTTGAATCAATGCAGACTGCGGCAACTCCACTGAATTTCTTGGAGATGCTTTTCCCACTGTCTTGCAGTGTCTGCTTCATTCAGATGCACCTTATTGGGGCTCATCTACACATGGAGCTATTGCTAATGAATTGCATGTGGGCACTTTTTCCAGATTGATTCCATCTGTGGACTCTTACTCCAGAATAAGAATGTCTACACATGGAGTTATTCAGGAATAGCGATTGCACTTTAAATTCACACCCCTCCCTTAATAGAAACCACTTTCAAGCGTAGATGGGCCTTTATCAAATTGATATTTGAATTCCAGATTTAGGGCCAGTTCTTGAGGTGCTGAACACCTGTGTGGTCTGTTAGAGAGGAATATGAGAGCATTGTTGGAACTTTGGGCTGCCAATGCGGTGCATTGTGCCTGGAACAACTTATTTTTAAATGAGAATTTCATGAATAACAATTTTGTTTAAAAGGGATTAAGGTTGGGTAAGTGCGACATATGGCTGAAAGAGCGATCTACTAAAACGTTAGACAGAAATCTAGACACTTTTGAAAATAAGATTCTGGGCATTGGTTGGAAAGACTTAAGGTATGTCCAGACTACCCTCCGTATCAGCGGGTAGCGATATATTGCGTCTCGTTAAGACGTGATATATCAATCCCCAAATGCCCTCCCCATCGACTCCGGAACTCCACCGGAGCGAGCGGCGGTAGCGGAGTCGACGGGGGAGCCATGGCCGTCGATCCCGCGCCGTGTGGACCCAGGTAAATCGATCTAAGATACTTCGACTTCAGCTACGCTATTCACGTAGCTGAAGTTGCGTATCTTAGATCGGTTGCCCCCCCCCCCCCCCCAGTGTAGACCAGTCCTTAATCACCAACTATGACATCTGAGAAATCCACAACCAGCAGTTTGTTTCCACCAGAATCAGAAGAAAGTGCTGGACGTATTTGAGGCATGTATCGCTGGATGCCAATACATGGACTCCAGCTTGAAGCTGTCAGCTGGTGTGAGGGTGCTGTGACAAAGTTCCTCCTCTATCTTGGTGGGTCCTGCGCTTATTGACGGATTTTCTTGCCTCAGAGTTTCACCATGTGGGTTGGGGAACAGCCCAGAGACCTTCCCCTCTGGAAGAACCCACAGTCCAGGTCAATTGGGAGGTTTGGGGGGAACCCAGGCCCGCCCTCTACTCCGGGTTCCAGCCCAGGGCCCTGTGGACTGCAGCTGTCTATAGTGCCTCCTGTAACAGCTGCATGACAGCTACAACTCCCTGGGCTACTTCCCCATGGCCTCCTCCAAACACCTTCCTTAGTCTCACCACAGGACCTTCCTCCTGGTGTCTGATAACGCTTGTGCTCCTCAGTCCTCCAGCAGCACACCCTCTCCCTCTCAGCTCCTTGTGCCTCTTGCTCCCAGCTCCTCACACTCACACCACAAACTGAAGTGAGCTCCTTTTTAAAACCCAGGTGCCCTGATTAGCCTGCCTTAATTGATTCTAGCAGCTTCTTCTTAATTGGCTCCAGGTGTCCTAATTAGCCTGCCTGCCTCAACTGGTTCTAGCAGGTTCCTGATTACTCTAGTGCAGCCCCTCCTCTGGTCACTCAGGGAACAGAAAACTACTCATCCAGTGACCAGTATATTTGCCCTCTACCAGACTCCTGTACCCCACTGGTCTGGGTCTGTCACAGTGCCCAAGAGAAACCTTAGGAAGAACTCTTAGCAGGGAGAATAGAAGAGTCAGTCTCAACACTGCAGAGCAAATAGCAGAGAGGAATGGACGAGACGGGTTTCTGCTCTGTGCGCCAACATTGGCGTGGGAAGGATGTAAAAAAAAAAGTGTAATTCTTTGCCCCATGAAAACTCTAACAGGTTATGAGACACTTCCTAACCATACCTTAGTGCCCAAATTCACATTGCCACAAGAAGCTTCCTTCTGCCTCTAACTGATAAGGAAACTCGCAACACATTAATCTCCTTCAGACTTGCCTACAGAGAGACTGTAATGGAGTGGCACCAATTGCAAGCTGACTGGAGTCTTACTGTCTTCATTTATTTGCTCTGATACAAGCCATCTGTGATAGCTGTTGGTGCACTGCACCAGTGCAAACCCCAAGCCGCTATAAAACAGTTTGCACAGGCTCGGCCGATTCCAGTTTCCTGCAGTGTAAGCTGCACCTGTGCAAACAGCGGCTGATGATGGTTGTGTTTTTTAAAGTCAGGTCACTCTTTGGGAGAGGGCCTGTATCTTATCAACCAAATGACCCCCCCAGATTTGCACCTCAGACTACACCCAGGACCCTGAAGCGACATTCCAAATTTCAAGCTGATCACAGTATGGATTTTAGGAAAGGATCAAAAATTTGGCTTTTAAACAGCAACTATATTGCACCCTTAACTATGCTACAGCTATTACCATGCCATAATCACTTCATGCATCAGTCCAATGAAAACATACGAGTTTAAATCTGTTGTTGGACCTATTGGCATATGTTAATTGCAGCTGAAAACAGATTACACAGCCCGCTGTTTTTGCACCACTTACTGTTTTTTCAGCATTAAAATAATCGCGCAGTGGAGCTTGAAGGGAAATAAAACACTTGAGAAGTGTAGCTAGGGTTATTGAAGAAGCAATTAGATGACAGCATAAGCGTGGAGCAATAAAATGGAAATGAAAATTGATAGGCTTAAAAGCTTGCCATCCCTCCCACCCCCCCCTTTACAAATGTTTCATATGTTCGTCTGTATTTGGAAGCTTGTCGGTGACACGCTTTAGTTCCCATGGTTTTTGTAATTAGGTATCGCTCCTTGAGATGGAGAATGCCTCGCGTGAACCGTGCCAGACGATTTTTCAACTTTATATATCTCTTTCTGTGCTCACAGTCATTAGCCAGCTAGCGTGCTCCAACGATATCTTCACTGATAGACGCTACTAAAACTACAGTCTCTCCCAGGCTGCTTTATTTATTGCTGGTTCTCATTTTATCGTTGGGAGGCTTCGCATCTGTTTTGTGGATTAGCTCCTGGATTGTTGCTTTAATCATTTTAAACTAAACAGATACTTAAAAGAAAACGGTCCTCATTCTGTTCAGCCTAGCAGTCTAAAAGTACCAAAGAGAGAAACTTTTTTGCCTTGAATAAACCATGAGACATTATTAAAACCTCTAAAATTTGCACACAGCTGGGCCTTGTGTTGCAAGTGGAAACTGACTACGTTTTCTTCCATTCCTGCTTGCTGCCAGTGTCTGAAATAATGTCATTTTTGTGGTGTGGCTAGCACTGGGCTCAGAAATGCCAGCTTGCAATAGAAAGACTACTCCATTTCTGTCTAGGCAAGGTGAGAACTGCCCTTAGGCTCCTGCTGCATCTTCGCCTGTAAGCACATCAGACACACAACCTACAACTATTGCCTTGAGTTGGGAATAATGTTAGCTAAGTATGAGTGACCTTGACGAAAATACAGGCTGTGTTATGCCCTAACTTTCTCTCCTGCCCATGAGACACAAGTAACCAGCATGATAGGATGTTGGCTATAATAGTATTCTCTGTTATACCCTGTATTACTCAGGAGTCTGGCCATTTCAGAGCTGTGCCAGAGGAAACTGTCCATTTTCCATTCAGTAACAATAAAGGAGTTCTTTAGTATATTCTGATGCCGACCCTGGTAACGTGTATTTAACATAGTTTGAACTTTTTACATTCGCAAACGTATTGCAAGCACTTCTGTCGTAAGTAGAACTTGTCAGAACTTCTGAGACAGAGCTTTCCATTAATCCAAGGTCTGTTTTGTTGCCTTGAAATCTGCATCGCGTTAGAATTGTGTAGATTGCCTCTGGGGTCTGTACGTTTAGAATACTAAAGTTCTAGTTGGACTTTATGCTCCCAGTTCTTGCCAGAAGTGGTACATGCTCGGCCTAGGGAAATGCTGTATAATATAACTTGGCTGCAGACTCTTGTGTCTAGTCTCAGGTTTGGCTTTAAAATCATAGAGACTTTTTGGAAGTTGGGGGCGAGAGAAGAGTAAAGTCATACGTAGTAATCCAGAGTGCATTTTATCGAAGTACACGTTTTCATGGCTATCATTATGCAGGCCAGCTAATAAAGCCTCAGACTTACAAACAAGTAAGAGAAGAGACTCATGTTCTTTGGAAATCTGAACATCTCGGGGGAAATCATGGCCCCAGGGGAGTCGATTGCAGTTTCGCTACTGACTTCGGTGGGGGAGTTTTGCACGCTTGTTTTGTCTCTGTTTTCCAGAGTGGGTTAACCGAAATGGTTGAAATAGTTGGCAGATAACAATATTGACTTGCTCGATTCTATCTTCCTGAAAAAGACACATGCCCTACAACTGCCTTAAACCTCGATAACTCGGGCAAATCTATGGAGTAAAGAAAGCAAGTTTTGTTTTGATTGCCACTCCTGGGCCCATTTTTGATAAGGATATCAGTGATTCGCTGGAGGAGGATAAAGGCAAAAAGTAACTTGTTCAGTGTTCCCTAAGGGGGGGTGGGGGAGGATTGGACCAGGTTGTTTCTTTTTGACCCTGACAATGGTTTGTGTAAGGAAGCTTTGTACAGGAAACGGGGTGGGGGCCCCAAAATTAATTACTTCCCAAATGTAAATTGAGACAGCGAAAGGGTCTGTAGAGGGGCAGCTAACTCCTGGCTCCGCGGCTGTCTAGAAAATACAGCGGGAGAAAGGTGCTCCTTCGGATGTGTGGCGTGACGCTCCATCCCACGTATAAAATGCCTAGCAATTGGTAGTTTGTTTTTCCTTCTTTTTAATTCCCTCATTGCTTAGGGTTTGCTGGTTAAGATTCTGATCCAAAAGTAATGCAGATATTTCCCTCTAGGTGATCATAGTGCTCAGCTGGGCCTGCATGGTGGAGGGGGTGACGGAATGGGAGACGAAAACGCTACTGTGGAAGAAGGGGAGACTAGTCCCGACCCACAGCCACAAGGCCGAAGGATGCGGAGGGAAGCCTGCACCTGCCCATACTGCAAAGACAGCGAAGGACGGTAGGATTTGCTAACTGGGTACCTCAAACTGTAGTCGGGATCGTCACTATGATGTCAGGGCATTTCAGAAACCCAGAGGGATGGAGGCTATAGGTCACTTAGCAGCCTTGGCCTTCGAGAACTAAAGTCAATCCAGGTTGCACTCTTAATAAAATAGGTTGACAGGTCGGATGGTTGCAGTAGTGCTCTCTCCCAGGAGCCCTAGGCCAGCTCTGGTGAAGGGTGGGTCACAGCAATTTTGGGGCACGTGCTGGGTGCCTCATTTTAAACTGCCATTGTCGGACTGGAATAGCAGCGTGAGGGGCTGATGATGTCCGAATGGGTGGGCATCAGCTCAGTTGCATGAGAGAAGGAGGGAAACTTGCACTAAATCCACTAACGCTCTGCTAGTGTTCTAGTCCCTGGGTCCTCCTGAAACGAAACTTACACATGAAAGCTGTTGGGAGTCTTTTGTTTTGGTTTCCCCCTTAAAACTTTTAACTGAAAGATTTTTACTGTCTCTGGATTGAACATGCACTGCGTACATGGTCATCAGGTTATAAACTGTTTGCTTCAATGGCTTCCTTTTCCATCGCTAAAGTATTATCGGGTGCAGAAAAAGGGCTAAATCTTATGGCTGAAATGAGCACGCTCCTGTTGTGAGCAACTGAGGGCTGAGCCCTGTATATTCCTGTGGCCTGGGTTCTCCTGCCAGAGAACAGTGCTGCAGAGTGTCAGGGTTTGTTTAGTGGAGTCTAGGCTCCTAGTGTCTACTCTGTGCTTCGGCTCCTGCCTTGGAGAAATGCAGCTAGCTCCCGGCCTCGCTGGTGATGAGACCTTGGTCTGTGTTAAAGCTTTGAGAGCTGTATCGCGGAAGGCGCTATCGCAGGGCGGTAACAAAACACGCTGCACTGAGCAGCATGAAGGAGTCAGCGTCAACCCCACAAGGCCAGAAATGTTAATCGGAGGCCGTAATTCCCTCCCTTTTGGCACCTCGTCATGCCTAGGGCTTTAGGGGGTATCTCCAAATAGGGGCAGGGCCATGGGTGTACATTAAGGACAGAATTTCAGTCATCAGCTATGTGACGGGTCTGCCTGGCCAGCAGGGTCACTCAGAATGAACAGCTGTTTGAGCTCCCCTTTAAAACCTGTGAACGCAGCCATTCCCATTCCCTCTGTCCCCCTCCCTCCCACCACCTCTTCCCACTTCAATCATTGGTTCCCTCCCCTTCCTTTTTCCGTGGACTTGCTGTTCATGGCATACCCCATATTGGTCATTGCTGGGCCCATCCCACATGCCCCATTGCTGGGCCCGTCCCACGCGCTCTTCCTCACTTGCACAGCAGCTTTGTTACACTGGAGAATTTTTAGTTAAAAATGTGCTGAAAAAGGGACTCTGAGGAGAGACCCCATGGAACAAAAAGGTTTCTTACGCACGCAGTGAAATTAGGGACAGATTTGCTGAGGAGCCACCTGTTGGACCATGTCTTCTGACTGCTCCTGAAGAGGCTCCTGGTTGCAACCTCTTCTGTTTTTTCACTGAGGATTTAAGTGACTCCTCTGTGGCCCCTCTGAAGCCCTCACACCCACCGTCTTCCCCCCCCCCTTTTCCTCTGACTTAGACTTTTTAAAACTAGTGATTTACCTGCTCGTAACAGTTCCCACTCTGACTTTAATTGGGGAGTGTTTTCGTGCACATGTGGTACAGGTTTGAGTCTCCCAATAACACTTCAATCTTTAGGAGAACCTGTCATCCAAAGGTGTGGATGCAGTTACCAACCTGAGAGTGCTCAGCACCTTTGATCTCTGGAGTACCTTGTAGTCACCAATCCCCAAGGACACAGACGTCATCTTCATTTGACAGAGGGTTAGACTGAAGTGTTGAGTGGGAGCTGACTTGCTTGTGGTCACTGAGCAGAGCCAAGACTAGAGAACCCTGATTCCTCTAGCCAGGAGACCGTCCTGCCCACTCTCCTGTATTTCTAATGTCAGCCCAGTATCTGAGCAGTAAGTAGGCGTGTCTAGTCAGTGCTCTGATCAGCGACTGGTAACCTGGGGTTTCCATTGTGCGAGCTCAGCAGCCACGCCGGATGCCACATTTAGGAAACTGATGTTTCACCTCCCTGGTAGCGAGAGTGGAGAGGCTCTGTAAATTAACGCCTTGATTTCTTTGGATTCTTCCAGGGGTTCTGGGGATCCCGGTAAGAAGAAGCAGCACATCTGCCACATCCCGGGCTGCGGGAAGGTGTACGGCAAGACGTCCCACCTGCGGGCTCACCTCCGGTGGCATACCGGGGAGAGGCCTTTCGTCTGCAGCTGGATGTTCTGCGGGAAGCGCTTCACGCGCAGTGACGAGCTGCAGCGGCACAAGCGCACACACACAGGTGAGCCCGGGAACCTGCCCTGGCTCTGCGAAGGGAGCACCTGCCAGATGCACTTAGAGCAGGGGCGTGGGGGAGCCTCCGCTCTTTCTAGCCTTGTATGTATGCTGCAAGGGGTTCCAAGATCCCTTAGTGGATTGCCAACACTCTCCACTATGGGCCTGGTGTTCACCCAGTGTTCATCATCTATTGCTTTGGGTTTCTGCAGTACAAGTATATTTACAGGTTCTGTCACCAGCTGGACAAAACCATGACTCTTCTGTTCGTTGGCAGCTGCATCAAGCGAATCCTCTGCAGTACTTTCAGCTGAGATGTTTTCCCCAGCTTAGGAGCCCCAAAACAAGGAACAGCTAGAACTGTTCAGAAAGCCGCCCGCAGGGGGAAGTAACATTCAGAGTAGGGGGAGATCAATGTGAGAGGGTCTGAGAGGCCATCATGGAGACAGAGCCAAAGAAATAACACGTCAGAGCCTGATCTCACTCTTGAGAGCGTCCACACTGAGCGGAGCCCTGTTGAAATCCGGGAGGCTCTGTGTGAGTGCATGATTCACAGTTCAGGGTTAGGGCCCACAACGTTTTGGGGAAGAGGGTGTGTTTTACTCCACATAATAAATTCAGTTTGGCAACTGGGTGGATGAATTCTTCCTCGCTACATCCCTCGTAGTTCTGAGACTTTGGTTCTAGTGCAGTAACTAAATGTGGCTTCTGACACCTGGTATGTTTTCATCACCAGTAAATCTGCTTTGGTCAAAAGTTGTATAAAGTGAAAGAGAAAGCCGGTGAGAGGAGACTATGAAGACCCTTGGATGTTAACATGGCAAAAGGCACTGACTGCAAGTCTTAGCAGGGCTCTGCCCCTCAGAAATAACTCTGACATCTTTCACTGAAGGGCAGTTGAAAAGTGCTGCACTCCTCTCTCCCTTAATACCTGTCGAGGTTGCTCTGTGAGCTTCATCCAGGCAATAGCTGAAAATTGCTTCTTACTCAGAGTTTGGTTTGTATGTTGAGCCCTTGTTTGTTTGTTACAATGTGGTGGAAAGGTTTGGCTTCCCATAAGGACGTTAAGCAAGCGCGTTGTTGAAATAGCTGAGCGGTTCTCCTCTCCCGTTGCTGTTCACAGGTGAGAAGAAATTTGCCTGCCCGGAGTGCCCAAAACGCTTCATGAGGAGCGATCACCTGTCCAAGCACATCAAGACCCACCAAAACAAGAAGGGAGGCACAGCCAACAATGTGGCCATGAACGTCTCTGCGGTCTCCATGGACACCGGGACTTCGGAGGGAAACAGTGGGCCAACCCCATCGGCCCTCATCGCAACCAACATGGTGGCCATGGAAGCCATTTGTCCCGAGGGCATCGCACGCCTTGCCAGCAGCGGCATCAACGTCATGCAGGTGGCAGATCTTCAGTCCATCAACATCAGTGGCAATGGATTTTGAGACTGTGAGAACCACAAGACATGGACGATGTACAAATCTGGGGTTCAAGGTAGTGTGCTGAGAGGGTAGGGTCAGTTACACCTTCTAGCACGAGAGCCCAGTTCCTCTCTGCCAGGAATGCTACCTGAAAACAAGGCCCAGCGATCGGCTCAGACCTCTGAGGCCCAGTGACTACATGGGGATGCCAGAGCTTTTTTTGACTCGACTTTCCCTCCTCCCCCATAACTTCTCCCCTACCTTTCCCTCAGTAGCTACCCCTGATGCCAACATGCCTTGGTAAATGTATATGATCATTGAAATACTTTTTAGCGCAAAAAAAAAAAGATTCTATATTATTATTATATATATAAAAATATAAAATGTGTTCATTTGAGCAAGGAAAAAAATTGCTGCGACCAAAGTGTTTTTGGTCTATTTTGGATGCCTTATCTTTGAACAGATGACCCCGTGGGTAGTTAATAAGACAATACCCAAGCTGTTGTTCAGATGCTATATTACATTTTACATTGTAACCTTAAAAAAATTAGCCTTTTGTATGCTCTGCTTTTAGGTTTCCTTTTTTCCTTAATTTTTTTTAATTATTTGGGTGAGGTTTTCTTCATATAAAACAGTCACCCTCTTCCTTCCCGTCACCCCTTCGTTGCTTTATTTTAAATTGTATTCGCTGCAGAGATTCTCCTATCCGACTTATTTTAACCTTGCTCTTTCATTCTGAGCATAAGTGTACATGTAAAATTGATTGTAAAGGTTTTTGTGCGGGTTCACTCGAGCTATTTACCAGAAGAGGGTCCGGGACCCATAATGCATTCTGAGATTTTTGCGGGGGGGGGGGGGGGGGGGGGGGGGGGGAAGGGGAAGTCTAGGGCAAATTTATTTTTCTGCAGTCGGTCTTAAAAACAAAACGCCAACGTCAGTGCGACCAGGGCTGGTGAGATGAAGACACCTTGAGTGTCGAGTGGCAAAAAATAAGAAAATGCAGTGGAGAAGAGACCACCGATAACATTGTGTCTATCCAGAGTAACGTGCCTAGTCCGGTTAAAATGTAGCGTGAGGGGATGCCTGTTGGCATCCCTAATCTGAGGGTTACTGCAGAGCAGCTGATGCTAGTGCAGAGGGTGTGTTGAAATTGACTGTTGGTCAGACTGGCAGGCTGCTGGTACATTTGTAAGTGGCAGGGCGTTTGTCTGCCAGACATGGACTTCAGGCATAGGGTGCTTAGTGGACATGTCACACGGCCCCGGGCTGGGGCTGTTTATTAATGGGAGGCGTGTCTCTTATTCAGATTAAATCATCACATCATCTTGCAGGATTTTTTTTTTCTTCCAACACTACATTGCTTTTCTGGCTCCAAGGCTTCCCTGTTCTTGCAGAGATTTCCAAACCAGTAATTGGAAACAAAGGAATTTCCCGGCCGTCTTTGCCTCTGTCTTTTTCAAGCCCATGGTGGGCTGGTAGTACTGAACCCTGCTAGACTCCTCTGTCCAGCTCACTCTTCGTCCCCCGCCCTTCTCTTCCTGCTGCAGCCACAACAAAGTGGGTGTTCCCGATGTCCCCTCCATTTCCCCTAGCCCTTCTGTGAAGCCCAGTGGAAAGTCCTTACAACAGCATAAAATTGTAGGAAGAGGACCTCGTGCCCTGTAGACTGGGGGGGGTGGGCTTCAGGATTTAGAATCCCTCCAGTTGAGAATTCAGACACCTTCATGTGTGTCACCCACCCTCCCTCGGCCCACAAATCATCCTTGATAATGAAGCTGCGTGTCATTCATGCACTCATGCATTTCAGCGCTTGGTGACTTCTTCAGTAAATCATTGGTTCAGAGACACCTGATGGAAAGACAAGGGCTTGAGGAATCCTCTAGGAATAGGGTGAATTTTATTTAATGAGGACGATAAGCAGTGTTCGGGTGTGTTTTCATAGAAAAATAAGTGCAGGAAACTGCCATATACTCCAACACCCTGGTGTTCGATAGCTTATTAGTGCAGGCAGGTGGTGGTGGTTTTAATTTGTAAGCTGGATCTTCTGTTGAATCCCTTTGCTAGGGAAGGTAGAAACATTGGGGTTTGCATTAACCAGAATCAAGGCTGAGCTGCAATAGAGCCCTTGTCTGGAAGAGTGGGAGGGAAAGGTCTGTCTCTAATGTGTGGAAAGGTTTTTATATTTGGAACTCTGTTGGAAAGTGCAGCAGTTTTGGAAGTTAAAAATTAAAACCCCTTCGTATGGGTTGCTGTTGATTATGTAACTATATCAAATATCTATCAAAGCATTTAAAACAAAAATCTGGTGGTGTGTGCAGAGGATAGCGTTAGGCCAGTGTTAATTGTTCCTCTCAAAAAGAGGAAGAAAAGAGGTAAGTAGCAGGTGGGAGGGCAGATATTACAGTGGAGTCAGTGTCTCTCTTCACATTTTGGTCCCACAGTTCTTGCTAATTTTCAGCACACATGGAGGTGTTGGACTCCCGTTTCATGCTTTTTGCTGGGAGACTTCTAGGGAGTTTTGTATGCATGTGCATGGAATTGCAGGAAGACAACCTGTTTGGTAGGGAGAAACAACGTTGGAGTGAAATAAAACTTTATATGAACCTGAATCACACCTGTAAATGGTGCTTACTTTCTCTCTAACTAAAAGCAAGTGTGATTCTGCTGTATATTTTATATACACCTTGCATAGAAACACTTCTTTTAACCTGTTCTACCTAAGGAGAATACACTTGAAATGAGGCAAATGCCGTGTGCTTCGGGGCTTTATAAGAAAGTTCAGGAAGAACGTCCATTATTAATTATTTCAAAAGCTCTCCTAGACCAGTTGCTGAGAGCACAGAGCCAGTTTTGATAAGAGCCATTCTGTCCTGTGTCAAACCAGCTGAGTTCTAGAGAACTGAATTCTGGGCTAGGTGGGGAAACAGATGTGTTAGTCAAACTAGTGTCATGGGGATAGCCATAAAAGATCATTCTAAAATGACAAGGGTCTTCTGTGCTGTTAGCTTACAATACCACAGATGGGCAACTTCTCTGTGAATTCCCTTTTCTCTTCCACGAGGGCCAAATTCTTTCCCCTCTTCATGGGATGTGATGCAACCCAGAACATCAGGAGCGGGTATTTGTAATCAAGCTGCCATTAAGACACCCAGGCCGACCATGGTTGCCAAGGTAGCTGGGCTCTGAAGAGCCGATCACTCAGAAGTAACTTTTTTTAGTGTAATGCAAACCTCAGCACTAATCCGCAATTGTCTTGTTTGCTTTAAAATCCTGGTTTTTTTAACTCTATATGCAAATTCCCTGCAGCTGGGGGATATTACAGGTTCTCTTTTCAGATCTGAGTTAGATTTTTGGCAAGGTCTGTCTGTCAGCCAGCTCCCTTGTCTTCATTCTGGGTGCGGCTTGCTCATTTGGGTTTGGAGAGAGATTTCTTCCACAGCGGGATGTGAGAGTTTTGTACCTTTACCAATTCAGGACTGCGTGGTGACCTTTCCTCACCAGACTCTGTGTCTGTGTTGTCAGAGCATCAGCATGCCTTGTCAGTTTCAAACAGCAGTACCTCCCCTTTGCACCTGCAAAAGTCCTCCTTGTCTTCAAAGCAGGAATTGGTGCATGCCGGCAGGAGGCAAAATCCTGCCAAACTGTGAAGTGTGAACACATTTTTACCTTTTTAAAAAATAAATACAGGGAGGGAGGAATCTTAGCTATCACTGTAAATTCCTCAGGCTGATTTCTTTCATCTCTCTATCTCTATTTTTGGATTTGTATATTTTTATATAGGAAACTTTAAACATTTGTATTTTTTTAACAATCTGTGAAGCACTATGAATTCCAGTTGTGTCAAATGTCAAAATCTTCCACATCTTGTGAATACTGGAAGCTACGGATGGTTAGTAGAAAGCAGTGTTTAAAAAAAACAACCACGTTTCAGTAACTCTGCCTCGTTGGGCTATTTGGGTGCCCGTTGCTAGAACAGCTACCTGAGAACATTGCCAATTCCTCCTTGTCACTTGCATTCTTTAATGTATTGAGGTCCAAGGTAGATTTAGAGAAGTTCTGGAAACTACGCCGGTTACATCGCTTGGTGACTACATTGTCAAGTACTTATCCGGTATGTCAATTGCAGTGGAGTGCTGCGCGGAGCCCTTGTCTCCATTGAGAACATAATGTACTTTCATCTTCCGTCCACATAGCTGTCCACTAATCCAGGATAGTCCCTTAAGAAGCCTAGTATAACCTGAGAAGGGCTCGAAAGGATCGCTAATGGTAATGTCCTTGTCCTTGTGGGGCTGTGTAACCTAACTAAAAGGGAAAGTGCTGGTCAGCCTGGATGGTATTGTCTTGTTTCTAAGCACCATCTTTGAGGAATATTCTTTGGACTGAGGTTTCTCCTGGTTTCATTGTGACAGCGTTGAACAGGTCCCAGCAATGGACAGTTCACCACAGAGGAATGGTGCTTTTTTTTTTTTTTTTTTTTTTTCCCCTTTAGGGAACCAGAATTAATCTGTAGTTTCCTGTGGAAACAAATCGCCCTGCACGTGTCTCCGCTCCTCAGCGATTTAGGCCTGGTCTGCACTTAAAAATCAGACCCATTGCACGTAGTGACGTCGCTCAGGGCTGTGAAATATGGTGGGCCCTGAGTGCTGTAGATAGGTCACCCTAACTCCCGGTGTAGATGGGGCGAGGTCAATGGGATCTTCTGTTAACCCAGCTACCGCCTCCGAGAGGCGAATTAGCTCCATTGACAGAAGGAGTTTTTCGGTCTACGTAGGAAGCACGGACGCTTCGGCACAGCCGCAGCATTGCAGCTGTAGTGTAGACGTGGCTATACCGCGTGTCAGATCCAAGAGCAGCAGCACCCACGTAGGCGTTAGGGCAACTGTTTATAGATTGGAGCTGGAAAACAAGCAGAAGAACGTGGGTATGGACCGTACCTTGAACCTATGTGAAGTGGCTGGTCCTAGCTGCAAGAGCGACGCAGTTCTTGCCCAAATCCAGGCAAACTGTAGGAGAGATGTTTGCCAAAGGCTAATTCCCAATGTCCCCACCCCACCCCGGTCCTGTTAACATACACGATGGACCAGCGAATACAAAGAATGTAAAGTATCTGAGAACCTCGGTACAACCCCATAGCGCCTCTGGCCCAGATCCACAAAGGTTTTTGGCTCCTAACTTTCATTGATTTCAGTGGAAGTTAGAACCCTAAATATCTTTGTGGATCCTGGCCTTTGTGTCTTAGATGAGGCTAGCTCTTTGGGGGCAGTGGGAAGAAGAGGTGGCAGAGGGAGAATGTACTCCTGGGCTGCTGCAGCAGCTCCTGAGGAGCTGAAGATACTCTCCATTTGCAAAAGAAAATTTCACCCGTGGGCTTAGAAATGAGATTTCTCCATCACTGCTGACCAGCCACCGCTCACACGGGAGCCTCACTGCCATTGCCCCGCTCGCTTTGGCATGCGTTAGCCTCTCCGTTCTCATTAGACAGCCGCTCGTTAA